CTTAAATGATATTGTATAGCTCTTGACCTATCTGGTTACTGAAATGTTAGCTGAATAATTTTTAAATGTAGTCAAATACATGAAATTTTAAAGCAGATAGATGTAGACCTTAAAAAATAAATGACACCTTCATATTAAATAATAGATAATAATGTAAACAATAATAAAAAGTAAAACACAAAACAGCAACAATGCATAAAAGCCAGAAGGTATAAAATTAAATGTAAAGGCTTTACTGTGTCATTTATAATAAATGTAAGTGGATTAAATTCTATTAAAAGATTCATCATGTTAAAGTATTTTTGTTTTACAGGGGTCATCTAAAACAAATTGATAAAAAATGTTAAATGTAAAGGGATGCGCAGCTATATTCAGCAGGAGTTACATCAAATAAAATAAAATGGCAGATTAGGTTATTTTATGTATTTAAAATTTAAAAATAATAGTGAAGATACAGCCAAACATTAATTATACATCTGAGGGAAAAATGAAAGTAGATCCCTTTCTCTTTCTGTGTGCTAAAATCAATTGTAAGTGGACCAAGGACTTAAATTATGAAACTCAAATCTTTAAAACTTGAGGAGAAAAGATAGATAACTTATCTTCCTTACCATGTGCCACAGGACATTATCTTGATTCCAGTGATCTCTGTGAATGTGGCTTATTTTACAGCAAAGGATTCAAGCTGGATGAAGAGATTCAGGAGTTCTGCTGATGCCAGGAATACACAATTAGATTCAGCTGTTGCTTTTTATTCTCCCAGCAATAAGTTAAATTTCACTAAACCATTCTACAACAGGTAAACTGTCCCTTTTAGGCAGTCAGCAATATTTAATTTCTCTGAGCCTTTTACTTGCAGTTTTACTTGTCTTACTTAAGCATACTCATGCAGAGGTTTTCCAGATGAGGTACCCTCAGTATCCTAAGTTTTATCAACTGTCAAGTATATACACCTTAGTGATCACTTATCTCATGTTGTTTATGGATTTTAATCTAACAATAATTCACTCTGAGCAGACATTCTGCATTCCTATTGTGTATTTTTATCTTTGCTCAGCCATGGTACAGTGCCATGGCCTCTGATAATCTACATCAGTAAAAGCCTTCTTTTTTTTTTTTTTTTTTTTCCTTTTTTTTGTCTTTTTTACTGACCGGCAACAGGATCGCAACCCTCGGTGTTGTGCCCGCACCGCGCTCAGCCAGTGAGCTGGAACCGGTCTCCACATGGGATCCGAACCCTCAGCGGGAGCACCGCCACACTCCCAAGTGGCGCACTCTCCAGTGCGCCACCGGGCCGGCCCATTAAAAGCCTTCTTTATCACCATTAGGCCTCACTATTTCACCCATCACTGTGGATTAGGGAAGGGTTTCTCAAAGAAGATAGATTCAACTTTAACCATAAAAGAAAAGAAAAAAGGGTAAATTTGGTAAATTTGACTATATTAAAATAAAGGAGAGCAAAGACAACCCACAAAGTGAAAGATGTAACTCATATAATAAGGATTGACAAAGGTTTGTTGTTTACAATATGTTAAGAACTCTTTAAAAATATGTGAGAGAGAACAACCCAAGAAGAAATGAGCAAGACATAACCAGGAATTTTTACAGACAAGGAAATATATATATTGAGAGAGAGCCAGTAAACATGAAAAGATGCTAGTAATTATGGAAAGGCAAATTAAGACAGTAATATAATTTTATATCCAAGTAGATTGGTAAAAATCATGTTTGGCAATACCAGTGGCTCAAGAGGATGTGGATCAGTGGTAACTCTTACACATTGCATGTATGGGTGTAAATTGGTAAAGCTCCTTCAGAAAATAATTTGGTGTGGGGAAAAAAGAATAATTTAGTCAGGCTCCCTCGCTCAGGTCTGGTTGGGGGTCAGGCAGCACATTTCTTGTAAACAAGTTCTGTGTGGGTGGAGTTAGTGTGCATATGCCTCCATGTATCTTTTTAGTTTGTTTCTATTGTGTGTTCTTCAGTTTGTGAAGCAGGCTGGCCAGCAGAGAGCTTACATCTAAAAATAGAGCATGGTCACTCTGCTGGTAGCTGCTCAGTTTTTATTTGGACTTTGCTGTTAGCAGTTGAGTTTCTGAGTTTCTACTTTGGACTGTTTAACTCTTAGACATGTGTGTGCTGAATAAAGACTATTCCTACTTCAGCCAAGGCTCCAAAGACCTTTTTGCCGGTTATTTAGCTCATAGACCTGTGTGTGAAGGGTTTGTGAATGGGCTCAAGGGGTCTGTGAGCTCCAGACCCTTGCCCTAACTCTACATTTTGTTATCCTGAAAACATGTATACCTTATTGCTACCCATCATACTCCCCCAAGAAATACTTAGACACATATGCATCTTGAAACAAAATATTCACAGCAGCATTGTTATAAGCACAGCAACAAAAACTGGAAATAATCCAAATATTCCTCATAGATGACCAGATAAACAAATTTGGGTATATTGACCCAAAGGATTATTACAGTGCCATAAAAATGAGTAAATTATTGCTACACACAACCAAATGGATCAATTTTGGAAATATTTATGAATGTAAAAACATGTATTAGAAGACTATTTTGCTCAAAAACAAAATTAAACAGTATATTTGTTTACATATGACATTTATAATAAAACTATACAAAAAGCAAAAGAATTTCAAGCTCAAAATTTACGATACATTACTCAGGATGAGGAAGAGTGAAGGGGGCATGTTATTGAGAAACGTGTAGGTAAATGCAAATTATTGATAGTATTCTACTTGTTTGGTTGAGTGATGGGTTGTTCAACGATCTTTATTGTTATACTTCATAATTAATACATATTACATGAGTTTTTTATGCATCAAATGTAGAGGCATTTTTACCCAAAGTTTAAGTTCCAGGATTTTTCACTAGTTTGGACCTTTTCCAAAGGCCCTGAGGAAAGACCACAGCAATATGTTCACATAGTTGGATGTTTTCATAAGATTTACAAAAATAAGGTATTTTAACTGTAGTAATTTAAGACTGCAGTCTCTCTTCACCTTGATTTCTGCTAACCTTCGTCAGCAGAAGGTCACATGTCACATGTCACTTTATGCATTTTGAATGACTTTATGCATTTTGTGACTGGGATATACTTAGTATAGGTTTGGTGGGATTCATTTGTGGTTTAGTCACTTCTGGGTATAGGCAATTATTGCCTGTTGGCCTGACTGTGATGGGAACATGGTCATTGGTGCCAGGCACCTGAAATATGTTAGTAGTAGAAAAGCCAAAGTTTGAAATTTATTAAGCCAGAAGGTAGTCAGGAAGAAAATTTCTAATTATTTGGTGCTTAAGATTTTAAGTATGTGATTTAGTTCTCATAGATTTCCAGTCAAAATAGAACTTTCCTTTTGTTAGAAATACTCAGCACAGAGCATTCAATTATAAATTCACCAAACATTTATTTTCTTTTTTGATAGGAACTCTGCCTTTGAAGTAAAATAAGATTTTTTTTTTTTTTTTTTTTTTTTTTTTTTTTCCTTGCCCGGCAACGGATCGCAACCCTCAGTGTTGCCCCCGTACCGGACCGGGGACCGGCAATGGGATTGCAACCCTTGGCATTGCCCCCGTGCCTCGCTCAGCCAGTGTGCGGGAACCGGTCCGTATATGGGATCCGAACCCTCGGGCGGGAGCGCCGCCACGCTTCCCAAGCGGCGCACTATCCAGTGCGTCACCGGGCCGGCCTGGATTATTTTTTACTTATAGCCGTATCAACAAGTATGTCTTTCGGTGAAGCTGCTTGTTTTATGATTACCAATTAAAAAAATAAAATATCCTTCAGCCATGCTAGAGGAAAAAGTTTGTCCATTCCCTCTATGGGAAATAATATAAAATTGTATTTATGAAGAGGCAATCGAATAATGTGCCGTCATATAGGAAAAATAGAATTTTGTAGGTTTATAAGGTCCTTAATTCATGAAAGCATTATGCTGTTTTTCTGGATTTTATGATGTATATACATGTCAAGTTTTTAAAACTTATACTTTGTTGTTATTTCTTTTCTCATTCTAAATAAATATTCACCTCTACCTTCATTGTTCCTGATCAGATGATATATTGAACACAAAGAATATGGTAAAAGAAAGCTTCAAGTAAGAAAATAGATAATGATCGATGAGAAAATTATTCAGGTAGCTTTGGCTGGGTTAGTTGCACCTGTCTTTGACTTTGAGTTTAGTAAGTGCTCTGTAGTTTGTTAGATAACTGGTCTATTGTGTCAATATAATTTATTTTGTTTGCTTATATTATGCCTTTGTTTGGCTGGAAATCTGCAGTATTAATTTCTTTTAGACCATTTTTCTACCCATGGTTCAGAACAAAGGTGATGTGGATACTGAGGGATAAACACTATTTTTCTCTGCTATGTGACAAATTTTTCCTAAATTATGAGAAATAATTAAGAGTTAAGTATTGTAAAAACTAAGTTAAATTGGCTTGCTTATTTGAACTGGCATCATGTTGTATATCTTAGTGCTTGTTTTATACTCAGGACTATTAGGAATTACTCCTGTAGTACCATTTATTTTAGAAACTTGAACATTGGGAAAGCTTAAAAAACTGCCATTATGTATGTGTAGAAAATGGAATGTTCTATACGAAGCATTATTTTTTTGTTTTTCTGAATAAATACAATTAATCTTTACATTATCTAAAGTATGGTCTGCTTGGATGATTAAATCAAAAGCAGGTGGTTATAGCACTGAGGTGATATAACAAAACGTGACCAGATAAATTATTAGGCTTAGTATCAAGGAGAGGCTTACTGGCAATATAAATTTTGAATTTATATAGTTAAGATTTATAGAAAAAATTGAAATTATTTAGATGTTTTCATTGACAGATGAAAATGAATGTAATTTACAGTAAAAGGGATTATCTAAATCTAGAGATAATCTCAACATTATTTTAGTATTATGAAGAAACAACTTTAATTCACTGGAGAAATGTATTTAAATATGATATCTTGAATTCTAGGATATGAAAGATGGCAAGTCCGGATAGAAGTAAACGGAAGATATTAAAAGCCAAAAAAACCATGCCTACAAGTTGCCGGAAGCAAGTGGAGATCCTGAATAAATCAAAGAATTTTGAAGCACTGAAAACAACAGCAGTTGGGAGTAATGTTCCAAGTGGTAATCAGAATTTAAGTATTGATGCCGTAACTAAGAAATGTAGGCTCTCTGAAAATGTTGCTTCCTCACTGGACTCTAACAAGAATTCAGTATTCTCACAGAAAAGTAAGGAATTCCCTCAGAATTTAATAAAACCTGTAGAAGAACTTGAGTTAGAAACAAGATTGGAATATATTGATGAACAAGTTGTGTGTCCTTACCAAAAGCCAAGTAAAACAGTAAATTCTCCCAACAAATTTTTTATACAAGAGGCAAAAGACTCATGGAATACTTATGAAAATCATTCTGAAAACCATTTTGAATATCAGGCAAATGTAACAAGATCCTTTTCTGAACATGAAGGGGATTGTAACTTGAAATCCATTTGCTGTGCACCCATTATATTGAGGGATGTAGTTCAAATGCCAAAGACTACAGTAGCCAGTACTTTGGATGATAAGAGAGTTGACAAGATGGTTTCCCACTTAGAAGCAAAGGCCAACTCGGAGTCACATGATAAAAGCCAACATAACAACTTTTTAAGTTCACACTCACGTTTTGTGCCTGTTGAGAAAACACCTAATTTGGTGAACTTAGTCACTTCCAGCATCTGTGCTGCCGACATTTTGAGAACTGAAGAATCTAGTAGAACCTGTCATGCCAGCATTTCAAATTGTGAAAGTACAGACTCAACGTGGCTGCCATCACTTGACACTGATAGTGATAACAGTAAGTGTATACATGTGCGTCTTTTGGAGAAAGTAAAATAGTCACTATTGGGGGATTTTAAAGTCTCAAATATATAAACAGGTAGAAAACATATACATAGGGAAAAAGTAAATGATGATCATTTTTTCAGTGTATCTTTTGTTTCTGAACCATTCTTGGTGGGGATGGGAAAAGGTATCCATCATATCAAAGGGGAGTTTAATTCTGGCAAAGAAGGGATCAATCACTTTCCTTTGAGAGTGCAAAAAATCAAAAGGTTTATCAGTTTTTTGGTTCATTTCATCTACATCTTTTTATTTTGAAGTTTTATTTATTAAGAAGGAGGATAGGTGAACGAGAGTGCATTTTTTAAATTGTTGAACACATCTTCCATATAATTGACATGTAAATCACATGCCAAGTGTAAGATGATAGATAACAATATATACGTGTGTGTGTGTGTGTGTATGTGTGGAAAGAGAGAGAAACACATCAAATTAACAAATGAATTTCTGGGGTTATAAAATTATTAAAATTGCAAAAGTAAATCTTATTAGAAGTAGGGTATTTATGTTGGTTAATGAAGTAGAAGAAAGAACTTACTTCATAGGATAAATTTTGTGTTCTTGTCTAAGCTATAGAGTGATCATTTAACAACATGAATTTAAAATTGCTTAGAAATAATAGTAGGATCACCTATCAAAAATATATAGGACTGTTTATAAAAATAATGTAGGACCACTTAAGCAACTGTAAATAGGAGATTAAATCCTCTGGTTTATTCAGTTGTTGGCGTATGTGTATTAAGTAAGGTTGAAGGGGGAGTGTATCTGTGACCAGACCCTACCTAAGATATTCATTTTTTTAAAGGAATAGTTTGTGGGAATGTTTTTATGCAATTACATTTTCTAAAAAATGCTGTTGGGACATTTTAGTTTTTCCATTTGCTTAGAGGGTCCCTCAGTTAGAGAATTCCCCTTTTTCCTTCTTTAGAAGGAATATTTTTATCTCTGATCTTTCCATCTCCCCAAGGCCATAATCAAAAGAAGAGGATGTTTTCAGAAAACAAAGAAAGTGTTAAGCGCATGAGAACTTCAGAGCAAATTAATGAAAATGGTTGTGTAGTTCTGGAAGGGCAAACAGCGTTGCTGGAACAGGTAAAATATTGGGGCTTAAATATTTGCTGCAGAAACTTTTTCTTTTGATGAGTAAAAAATGGTAAAAGTTAATTAACTGATCTTCACGATGACGTAGCACAGATGACTTTCACTTGCTGCCAACCTGGTGAAAACCAAATTAGCAGACAGATTAATAAAGGAAAGATAATTGTTTATATTACCAAAGCATCTCAAGTTTCTTGATAATGATCCCATGCAGAATAACCTAGGGAATCATGTAGGTAGAGTCGCCTTGTAAAAAGAGAATGGGCTTTTCAGTCACTAATATACTCCAATCTCTGTGTGAGTCAGATACTGCATGACCTTCAGCTTTGCTAAACAATCCAATCTTTTGAATTGGTCGTGGGGTTTTTTGATCTGCAGCTAGAGCTCTTTGTAGACCTCATCAGTTCATCACTACTTCATAGACTCAGACAACACAGAAGTCCATTGCAAAGTCCTGCTGCATTTGTATTTACTTGCCCTGATTTCCAAAACTACACAGGTATGCTGCATTATCTGATAGTTTGCTTTAAAGCATCATTAAATATACTTCATGCTTTCATTTTTGCCTTATTTCATCTCATTGTACTAGTCTCCATACGTGTCTGATCAACTCTTAGTTGAAGTATTAAGCTTCAGTTCTAGTAGAATGGCTGTAATCAAGACCTGTTTTGATGATCATGTTTTACTATTTTACTGCCACTAAAATGCCACCACTAAAAGTCATTATGTGGTAGGTAATGGCTTTCAGCTGTAATGGACCAAAATTTCCCAGTTCAAACTATCCTGCAAACTGTTTCAGAAAAAAAACACTACTGTTTTCTAAAACAGACCATTACAGCTATATAGTTATATATCCTATGAATCTGTATTCACCTAATAATGAGAAACCTTTTTGAAATACTCATGCAGAACCACCTTGAAAGGTGAGTCAACAGTTTCTCACTTTCTACCTCCTGTTCTCTTCCAGGAAGGCCAAAGGAGATAGTGATATAAAATATGTAAATATTCTCTTGCTGGCTGGGAAGGGGTAGTAGAATTATGGTAAGCGTGGATCTAGTCTGAGGACCATGTTATCCAAGAAAAAGGTTGGGGATATCACTGTCTGTTTTCAGTGATTAGTAACTGCAGTCAGAAGTAAGTTTTAATATTGACATATGAAGACAAAACTTACTCTAGTCTTTGAACATTTTAATTTCACTGTCATAGAAAAATCAGAGTTTTCAGTAGCAGTGTTTACTGCACAAAATACTTGACCCAAGTTGACTCATAGAAAATGGTCCTTCCCAGTAAGGATTAGTGATTGCAGTTTATCTTGGTTACTCCTCCTTCCTAGATGTTTTTTACACATTCTCCAAAGACAACTTGGGTATTTTCTAATTCTACCTTTTTTCCTATCTCAAAATAGCTAGCTTTTTCCTCACTTGTAACTCCTGTCCAAACAATCTGTCTAAACCATATCAATATGATTATCTTGTTTGAATCCCAATGAGTAGGGTCCCCCATTCTGACATTGTTCTTCCCTCGAGGTTTCATAAGGATCTTGACCTAGTCGATTCCAGTTAAATTACTGAAATGGAAGGGTTTTTCTCTGATGTTCAGGTTATTCAGTCTACCTACCATCTTAGAAAGTTAGGGCCGATTGGGGAAATGTAAGTTTGTACTTTCTCCAAACTTTAGAATGGTTTAGCAGCCATCAGTAAATTGAAGCTAGGACTTCCACCTGATTCCATAATGTTGGGCACATTACCACCAGTAAAAGATGTTTATTAGGTATTCGATGGAGGTTATTGTGTGTTCTTTCTGTCTAAGAAACATTATCATAAAATGACAACAAGTCATTTGGTGAGCACTGAAATTCAAAATAATCAAGTTTAAGGATCTAATTCTAACTGAATCACCAGGAGTGCCTGTTTAAATTGTGGTTTCTTGAGCTCACTAATAGTTGAAGACTATTGTTTTAGACTACTGTTTTCTCAGACACACCTGATAAGAATCATTGGTGGTGCTTGTTAATCATAGCTTTCCAGGGCCCTTTCTTGGAGATTCTGTTTGGTGGATCCAAGATGGGGCCTAGGAATTTGTGATTTTAATAAATATCCCATGTGATTCTTCCTCACCAGAGAAGTTTGAAAAACACTGTGCTAAACAGTGTCTCCATGTTCAATAGATGTATTTCTCTAAGATTCATCTGGGTGTGAGCTTCACATATTGAACATATAGCCAGTGAGCTATAAAAACCACACTTGGGTAACTGGTAAAAATAGTATGTGTTTCTCAGCATTTATTTACATAATAAATCAATATATTTTGAGCACTTATTTACTTAAATATTTAAAAGTTGTGAAAGTGAAAATGACAATCATGTCTAACAGTGTTGAGAAACCATAGAAGAAATGTTCATGAAGCATTACAGAAGAGATCAAGTAGACAACAGTGTTGAAGAGTGAGAACAGGTAGAAATAAGAAGGAAGAACCTTGGGAATAATTAAAAAATTAAAGAATATAACTAATCATCCAGGTGATATCAATATAAAAGAGTTTAATGTAGGAACTATGTGTTCCAATTCTTTTTTTATTTTTTATTTTATTTTATTTTTGGCATCTGGCCGGTTACAGGGATCCAAACTTTGACCTCAGTGTTACAACGCTGCACTTGAGCCAACTGAGCCAACCAGCCAGCCCTATGTGTCCCACCTCTGAGCACCATGAATCAAGATATTGGGGAAAAGATATAAGTATTATTAATGAATACCTTAATGTATCATGACATGTCAGTATTAACACAGACTACCTACCATGTTATGAAAGTTGCTTACAGGGAGGATACATACTGGGTGAAAAACTACAGTGAATGTTTCTGAATGTATGGCTCAGCATTGTTGTTCATATCAGTGGGCATTGAGATTAATTATGCTCCCTAAAAATGGACCAGTCTATTTTCAAAAAACCCAAATAATGAAATGCATTAATTTTTCATTATGATAGCTACTACAGTCTGTCAGAATAGCATGCACTATTCCAGATAGCATTAGTCACTGCATAATTCTCACTGGCTCCTTTCAGTTTTAACAATAAGAAAGCCAGCCCCTAAAAAAATTATGTAAGTAATGGTGATTATCTTGAATGTTTATTTCCCTCATATCAATTCAGTGTTTTCTATTTTGTGGAGCTCTTTTACATATTACCTTATTATGTTCTTATAAAAATCCTTTGAGGATCACTCATTTGGCAAACATTTATTGTATCATGTTCCCATTTGTAGACAAGGGAAATAAAGCCCAGAGATGTGACTTCCCAAAAATGTATGTTATGGAATTCAGCTGGAACTATAGGAAACTAAAATTAGCACTGTGAGAATAAATTTAATTTCTAACATGTCTGTATATTTAAATATTGGGTGTGTTCTGCTGAGTTTAATATTCAAGATTTTTCAAAGTTACTGGAATAGTAACATAAATATAAACATACGGATATAAAGTATATCTTATTGGTAACAATAAATCCAGAAAAGAGCAAACCTATATTAAAAAGTAGAAAATAAAATTGCTTTTAACTTTGAAATGTGGGGTGTTTCGGTTTTTATTTTAAAATTCTAGGTCAAACATTTGATTCGACAGGAGATCTGTAGTATAAGTTACAAACTATTTGATAACAAACTGAAAGAATTGAACGAACGCATTGGGAAGACAGAGTGCAGGAATAAACATGAAGCAATAGCTGATGACCTCTTCGTAAGTTTCTAATTTCATTTGATTTTGTTTGAGTCTTTTAAAAAGTAGAATTTGGTGATAATCTTACATATTAGGAAAGGAAAACAATAAGGGAAGTCCCAAATCTGATTCCTGGATACAACCTAATGTAAGACTATATGTAGGCAATAGAATTTATTATATTTTAGCAATACTACTAGTTCTTGGTAAATACTCTTAAGAACTATCAGGTATTCTGTGTCAGTTGACAGGCTTAATACACAGGCAGTTTCTTTTCATTCTAAATATGTTCTTCTCCCCCCCCCCCCCCCCCCACCAGTCCAGACCTATGAATGACCTAAATACATTTTTTTATTAGAGCTTTTACAACCTGTTTCAAGCTTTTTTGGAATTTTTTTATTTGTTCATTTTACTCTTCTAGGGTTACTTGCTGATTGGTATTTCTACCATACTAGTTTTATTGTGGACCAATTAGGAATTTGTTTTTATCTTCCATTCTTGAATGTCATACAAGCATAAAATGTGATTTAAATATTTTCCTTATATAAGAACTTCTCATTTGGGTGGATTCCTAAGTCTCACAAAACTACTCTGGCAAATAGTTTTCCCTTCATCTCTACATGATGTATTATTTAGTACTTTGGTTTAGTACTGTTTGTTTTTCTCTTTTTCTTCTAGGCAAGAATAGCAAAGCTTCAAAGACGTATTAAAAAAATATTATTATATCAAAGGGATTCTTTGGAACCAAATGTGTTGTCCAGTAATACAGCCTGTAAGGTTGGTGTAAACATAGGAGTTTAAATAACCTAGTTGACTTACATTATAAGTATTTGGATTATAACAAATGAATATATTTCTAAGGTAGAACAGAGGCTTAAAGGACAATTGAGTTTATACTTAGAATGTTCCCATGAATTTACCTTTGGAGAAGACACCCTTAGTTAGTAGTAAAGTAAATGCCACTTCTATTTCCCATCCTTAGGCAGTAAAATAAATGCCATTTATATTTCTTTAGTTAAAGGGAGTAGAGAGGATTGGTGATTGCCTAGACTCTCCCCTGCCCCTTACCATTTGATCATGAAAAGTGTCAAACATACAGCAAAGCTGGGAGAATTCTATAGTGAATACTAGTGTACTGAGCATCTAGATTCTACCTTTAATATTTTACTATACAGCTGGCTGTCCATATCCATGGGTTCTGCATCCATGGATTCAACAAATTGCAGATCTAAAATATTCAGGAAAAAAAAATTCCACAAAATTCCAAGAAGCAAATCTTGAATTTGCTGCACATGTTGAGTGCACGTGAATGAAGTGGTATGTAGTCGTGGCATTAGAAGTAATCCAGAGATGATTTAAAACATACAGGGGGATGTGCATAGGTTATATGCAAATACTGTGCCATTTTATTTTATTTTATTATTATTATTATTTTTTTGACCAGTAAGGGGATCACAACCTTGGCTTGGTGTCTTCCGCACCACGCTCAGCCAGTGAGTGCACCATACTGTGCCATTTTATATAAGGGACTTGAGCATCCATGGATTTTGTTATCCTCAAAAGGTCTTGAAACAAATTCCCTGTGGATACTGAGGGACGGCTGTACTTACTTTTATCATCTATCTGTTAATCTGTTCATCCCCCCAAGCCATCTTATAGTTTGTACATTCAAAGTATCAATGTATTTTGTATCAAAATAAACCTTGAAATGTACACTTCCAAAATATTACATGTATATTACAATAATACACTATGTGTATTATTAAGTAGACTTTAGTATCTGTTTATTTTTTATATAAAATTTAAATATTAATCTTCAGTGCTCATTCACTGAATTTTTTTCTTGTAATGTCTCTCTTAGGCTTGGGTATCAGATTTACACTAGCATCAATAAATGACTTGGGAAGCACTTTTTCTTCTGTTATCTGAAAGTTTGTATAAGATTTTTATTACATCCTTATATGTTTGATAGAATCCACTTGTAAAATCTGAACAAGGAGCTTTCTTCGTAGAAAGGTTTTATTTGAAAATTCAATTCTGTAATAGGTATAGGGCAATTCAGAATTTTCTTTTTTAATCTGTATCATTTTTGTTAGTTATCTTTGTAAGGAATTTGTCCATTTTATCTAAACTATTAAATTTCTTGGCATAAATTTATTCATAAAATTCTCATTTTTTTTTTTGTTTGTTTGTTTGTTTTTTTTTTTTTTTTTTTTTTGGGGGGGGGGGTAAAA